CAAACACGCATTTATTTGGTTTGATTCAAGTAACAATGTCCGGAACGTTACGTAACTGCGGTTTTATACAGTCACATAATGTAATCGATATAAAATAGTCCCCAGAAGATATCGTGCGGAGACTTTTGGCGGGGTCTGTAGTATTAAAAAATCATGTGCACGTTCTATTTTGGAACACTGATCACTTTGTCAAGAAAAATTTCCAAACATTAATAAAAATAAAGCCTATACCAATACATCAAAAATAAATTATTTAATACCTAATATAAATTTATACTTGTCAAGCGAAACTTATTAATTTTAGCATTATAAGCAAGATATTACATAAATAAACAGCATACATCTGTTTTATATACTATATAGAAACACTCCTTTATATAATATACAAGACCTTAATTGATTCGGTCAGAGTATGAATCATTCATGTTGTCATCATCTTAAAATCAACTTTACCACCTTTAGCCCATAAGAAGTCCTGTATGGTTATTGTGCTTTCGGATAACAAGGACTAATTTACAAGAGCTTTCGCCATATCCTTCCATGTTTTCGGTAAATGAAATTTTAATACCGGTTTCATTATATATATCTCAGTGTATTTTAATTGAAATTCATAGATTATAAGCTCATTTACTATATATTCCAAGAGTTAGTATTAATGTTAACTTACAATATTCTTGTAATCCGTATAACCTAACCAATGAGATATCAGAACTTGGATTTAGTTCTGCAAATCGATTTGTTAGGGTTTTCAATATTTTGGTGATTTTCATACGATCACCCTTGAAGTGTGACCAATCGTTCTTCGCATTAACTTCAGTCACGGAAAACTCTTCATCCTCTTCTCTCAGTGAGATAATAGTGTCTATTTTCTTTCTGGGAGATCAGCGCTGATCATCTGCTTTTTGGGAATTATCCTTGCTTTGAGGCACGTCTCCCCATAAGATGCATACTAATATTATTTGTTTTTAATGAAAAATTCAGAGGATCGGAGTTAAAACATTAACTATATATGTTCCTTCGGACATTTGATCGAGAAGCAAGTTCACATCTTCTATTAATTTTACCCTACATAAGGTTAGATACATTAGCATCACACCTATCAATAAGGACCAAGTAAATATATACTCACATGTCTCACGAAATTCAACACAAAATTTTTCTCAAATGAAGGGATATCTTCATTCGGTTTAAGTTTCTCAGTTTTTTTGATATTGCGATCAATGATGCTGTTCAATAGTAACTTAATCTCATGCCCCAAAGTATCTTCTGTTTTTTTTTCTTTCGTCTTACATCGTCAAGCATCTTTTCTATGATATTTTCGTCCAATGTCCTTAAGAAACCATCTTTGTTGTTATCATTAAAAAAAATGACATCGTAATATTCCGTCTCGTCTTTGGCAGTTTCTTCTCCAGCTGGTATTGTGTGAGACATTCTCTAATACGAATCTCATCTATAATCCAATCGGTGCTTTTGCCACATTATATTCATCATCCTTCCATATCTCGATCATGCTTTGTTCCTTGTGGACTGACAACAAATGGATTCAGCTCTGGTCACTTATGAATGTGTATTGGGAAAGTATTGTACATTGACGTTTCCATTTCTTTGTCGTCTTCCGGTGTAATATGTCATTCTGGTGTATGATATCCAGTTGAAGATCCCTATTCCTAAGGGAAGTCATAAAAAACACATTATTTTCTTCTATCGCTTCAGTGGTACAATTAGTGCACACGCTTTTTTGGTCTATATTGGCATAAATATAATTACCTCAATTTGATGCTCATCATCTAATATGCGTTTTTCAAATCTTTTAGCAATTAATTTTTGTAAGAAAAGACCTTAACTTACGGTCTCTCTCGTTACATTCAGAATGTGTTGGGTCTGTTCAAGACACATCTGATTCTCCAGTACGTTCTGTATTGAAGATATTAATTAGAAAGTATTGTATAACCAAGCAACTAAATTTCAAAATATTATATAAAAGACAACGTACCTGCTCCTTCTCGAGCAATTTGCATCTATCTTCAAACAACTTGAATTCCGCTAGAATATTTTATCTTTTCAATTAAAGATCCCAAAAATGGTTTATCTGATCCGATGATTTATCATTCTTATAAAAGTATTTCAAGTTAGAAAAGAAGAAAAAAGTGACACATTTATTGTAAAAAAAACGTAAGCAAATCATGGACGAGTCGCAACTTTTCCCACAACCAATCGCAACCAACACGGTGTTAGTAATAATACTCCAAACAATTACTATAACAATTTTTATTTGTGATCTACAAACTACTGATGATCTACTAATTTGTGATAGTCTATTTAGATACACAATATTATATCAATTACATTTGTAATTTGTGAATCCGATGATCGCTAATCTTAAATTTCTTACATTTCTATAATTTCTATAATTTCTCTGATTTCTCTGATTTCTTAGTGATCTTTAATTTCTTTAATATATTTAATTTCTTATATTTCTTTACTTTATTAAATATCTATTTTCTATTAATGTATTTTATATAAATATCTTGCATCTTTACTTTAATAAAAGAAGAGAGTTAACTAATTATCTTCAAAATAATAAATATCAATAAAGATGATCTGACCCTTCAATTAATTAAACTCGTGTTTATTTCTTTCATAGTTTAGATGTAATTAAACTCCCTGTTAGCAAATAATTATTGTTAACTTAATGACGGACTGTTTAAGATTAATAACGGTAGTTGATAATAATGTAGAATTATTAACACTAATAACACTTTGATCATTTATGATATGCACATCGACAAGTCGCAACCTTTTCCAGTATCAGTCATAACCAGCATGGTAATTAATGTCGCACAGTATCGAATAAATGAGTAATATACTTGCCTTAAATTGTTTTAATCAACTTATCACCTTTGCCCCAATTTCAGAATTTTCACCATGGTAATTTTTAATGATTTCCAATTCAGTTTTGTATTGACAGTGCTTTGTATCTCTATCTTTCAAATCGTTTGCTTTTAATCGGAAATCTAAGAACCCTTTTAACAAAGGCTCATCCATAGACTTCCAAAAGATACATATTTTACAAATGAAAAGTTACGCAAGGGTTGTTATAAAAAAGAAGTATAATTGTCTTACCATTGTATTTTAGCCTATCAACACATTTAGATAAAAGATACATTTTGCGTCAGACTTTAAAAGACTACAGGTCGGAATTAGCTATAAGCCAAATTTTACTCTCCAAGAGTGAGATCGGAAAAAAATTTTGGATATATCAATTTACGATCACGTGTTATAAATTTTTCAGTCACATGATTCTGATCGGTAACGGTTTTTTGCAAAGATGCAAATTTATTCAGATATATAGCGAATCAGAAAATATTAGAAAAGCGATGAAATATATGAAGCTATCAAAGAGGAAGGGAGTACGCGGATCCTGGGCCATTTAATGCGAGTCCTAGCATCAAGTTATTTCTTTGCTCTCAAATAATTTCTATAACTAATTGTTTTATTTCTATCGCTATTGCTAATTACAAAATTCTCACTCTTTACTACACTAAATTTCCTAAATAAATTATCCCACACATATCTACAGAATTTTCGTCTATCTATATCACTCCTACCTGAACAGACTATATAAAAGATTATTCCTCGCAAGAAAACTTTTCTGATTAAGTAATTTCGAATTTATAGCATAAATTCAGGAGATTAACAACTGAGATAAAAAAAATATTTCCGATTCACACTTACCCATTACTATTAATTTTCGCAATAAAAGGTAATTAGATTTTTTTATTGCCAGTACGTTACTGCGCCAAATAACAAGAATTTAGCACGTAAAGATGTTTATTATATTAAATACACTGCGCAAAATTTTATTGAGGAGTGTGATGTTAAGGCATATGACATTATTCATGTAAATAGTTTCACTGCGTCTATTGTACGCGTGATGATTGTCAAAGATTTTCTTAAAAAAGATCAAAATGCCGATATATAACAAGAAGCGTAATATGTCCGTTTTATTTTGAAACATCTATAGAGACAGAAAAATCGATTAATTCGTGATTTGAGTAACAATCAGTGCATGTGATCAAAATTTAATAATAAATTGTGGGATTAATAAATTATAGTAAAAATGAAGATTTTTAAAATCTCCATTTCTTCGCTAATCAACTTTTTATGTTTTCCAATAAACAAATAATACAATTTCTTGCCACTGGTAATCTTATTCAATCACTTCATTATGGCATATATGCAGTAAATTGGTGGACTTTTATTAATAAAAAAATGCCTAATGAAGAAAAACAAATATGTATATCTTTAAGATTGAATATGAGAGTCCAATTGGAACTTAACAAAACCAAATTTGTTGTTCGTATTGTTAGTGCAGAAGGTGACATGAATCCAGATTATATTTGTGAATCAGATGTACCTTCAAAAATTTATCTATCTATCTCATAAACTGTAAATAAAGCCTACAATAATCTTTTTAATAATAAAACACGATATTCAGGACCTTCAGTTTTAGGTTTTGATAATGAAAATATTACTCAAGACTATTATCTGATGTTTTGTTTCATTCTTTTAAAATAACAGTAGACAAACTGTCTATCTTAATTATAGAGTTAGGTGATGATATAATTGGATACCTATCAAGTTTTATATATAAATATCAAGGCAAGCAAAGCCTTTTTGTACAAAAGATTAAAAAAAAATATTGTTATATAGAAGTATTTCAAAAGAAAGAAAGGATCGCATATTATCATGATGTTTTACCAATTGAAGTTTGAAAAAAAACTGGAATTCTAAAAAATTATAATAGTAACATTTTATTTGGAATTGAGCATCCTGTTACAATTAATGCATTGAAAAATTATGCAGAATCTTTAATATGTAATGTAAATAAATGGGAAAATATTGAAGTAATGTCTGAAGCATTTGAAAAGCATCTAAAACGAAAATTTTCTGTTGTTGAACTTAATTGGCATAGATTTTTTGTTGAATAGAAAAAGCAACAATTGAACATTATAGAATTTATGATGCATCTTAAACCATTATATTCATTAGATTATGAATTTACTAATCGGAAGTTATGTATTTAGAGGAAGATAATAAAAGCATTAGTTGTACAAATATAACATCCTATAAAAGCAAAAATCAAAAGTAAGTTTTCTTTGAATTAAATGATTTCATTTTACTAAAAAAAACTAACAATAGTTTTATAATAATTTGAATTTTGGACATATTCTGTGGATTCCAGTAGTGAAAATACTGTACTTCTATACTTGTTTAACAAAAATCTACTAAATAATGTCAATAATACAGAACCTGAATTTATAAAAAAAAATAACCAATTGAAAGAGATAATTGAAAAATTTTGGAAAAGTTTTAAACAGACAATTAAAGTTAATAAATGTGGATTGAATAGAAAGCAACGAATTCTCTTTATTATTGCGGAAAATCTTAGACATAGGAAAATACAAAAGAACTTGATAGTAAATTTAAATATAGTTCATTAATTATATTATAAGAAAAATAACTTATTTATTATTTTTAGATTTTGAATGATTTAA